TTTGAAAATTTCTAATTCTTTTTATAATTTGATAGTTCCAAAACTATTAATTTGTATATTATAAATCCTAAACACATTGTGTAACTCGTAATTTTTCGACATATTCATATAACACTAACCAGTTAAAAACAAACAATTTGTATAAATTAGCAAACTTATCATTCAAGTAAGACTTAAATTAACCAATAAAATATTTAATTTACCTCAAAGATAATTGTAGATTTGCTAGCACCCACAATCACTACTCAATCCATCACAAGTTGAACTTCCACCTATTTATAATAATAAAAAGACCATCAAAATAAAAATTTCAGCAATTATTTAAAAATGGGGAAAAAAAAAAAACAGCTCCAAGTTGTACTACATTTGTACAATATAACAAATAATTACCTTCAAAATATTATTATTTGCTAGCTACAAAAATCCCTTCTCAAAACACCACAAATTAAGCTTCCACCTAGTTATAACAATAAAAAACAAAATTAAAATTTCAGCAATTAAAAATAATAATATTTGTCCAATATAACAAATAAATACCTCCAAATAATTATTATTTGCTAGCAGCGTAAATCCCTTCTCAATCAACCACAAATTACATTTCACCTAATTATAACAATCAAAACACACCAAAATTTAAATTTCAGACATTATTTAAAAAAAAAAAGATAGATAAAAATATGTTAAATTATTAAAACATAGGATCAAAAGTGAAACTGATGTAAACTTGAGGGGCTAAAGTGTAATTTTACAATTTTCATAAATTGAAAAGAAAAAAAAATAAGAATTTTGAAGTCATTGATTTTGAATTTTGACCAAACATCCATAAATTCGAACGGTTTGAAATCATGAATTTGAAATCTAAATCCTAATTATGGTAAAAAAGACGATTTATGGTCAAAATTAATGGCACTAAGAAATTAATGGTAAAAAAGACGATTTATGGTCTTGTTGAGGTAATACCTATTCTAATGTCATGACTAATTCTACCAATTTATCCACTAACTCACTAATAATTAATTAATTTATCCTACTAATTATTCTACTCGTATCATATTTAAACCATTACAAAAAATTTAAATTTCAGAAATTATTTAAACACAATCAAACATTCCTTCTTAAATCCACCATAAGTTAAAGTTTAACCTAAAAATAACAACGAAAAACAACAATAAAAATTTGAATTTCATAATAAATTATATATATTTTAACAATACAGGAAATAATTTATCTCCAAATTAATTGATAATTTACTAGATCAAAATTTCATTAATCCACCATTAATAAAAAATTAACAAAATTATATTAATAGTTAAAATTCTATTTAACTATAATAATAATTGAAAGAGTGAAAAAAATACCTCAATAAGTACCCTGCTGAAATTAATTAAATT